ATGGAGGTTTTGTGCCAAGGATTTTCGCGCTCGCAACGTGCAACGCGCGAAAGAGTCGCGCGAAACGCGCCGCAGCATGGCGCCTGTGAGTTCTCCCGGCTGCGCCGCAGGAGTTTCCGCAAGGAGCTGGGCAGGCTCAGCTCGTGGCCCTGGACATAACCCCCTGCTCCAAATACCCGTTCAGAACCAGGTTTTCCAAAAAATGCCCTGAAAAAAGCGGGTATTTGGAGAAGGGGATAGACATAAGGAGCCAGGGATCATGGAATTCTGTGTCAGTCAGGTAGAAAGTAAGGATCACCATTAGGAAGATATCGTCCAAGTGGACAGGGTCTTTGGGGTGATTTCCCTCGTCTCAAAACTAATTTTACTTTTTGGGGGTGTCTCCTTTTGTCTCACATGATCTATTACTTTTTAGGGGAGTGGCTCTCTCTGACCCACCAGATTTCAGAAAAGATTGTCATGTTGAGGATGTCACTTTGGCTCAGTGGACAGTACCTGTCCGGTCGTCAATCCGACAGGCCGTAAGAATACGATTGCTTCACACCAATGAACTCTTGGGTCAATCAATGTCGGGGAAGAAGACAAGCCACCTATTGTTACATTTGTTGATCTAATGTGTCGCTCAGGGTATGAGAGGCATGATCTGACGTGTTCAACTTCCTCCGGGCAGTCTATCAAGATTCCGTTTGAACAGCAACTAGAGAGCCAGGAACCAGTGAGTGTTCAAGGAACGACACGCCGCCTGAGGATAAGCCAGGTCTCGTGTCCCGAAAGCGCCAGGGGCGTGGGGGCCGGGGTGGGGTTAGTCTTCCCCACAAAGCGCGTACATAATTCTAAGGGCCCCCCGCTCCCTCCCCCCACCCAAATTCCACTGCAAAGGGGGGGGGGGTGGGCTGTCTGAGGGCAACTTGGACCACTGACGAAGACACCTGCAACGAATATACTTGTCAGTTTTCCTCGACTGGAACGTGTACTGTAGGATGACTCCTACTCACATCTCTGCTTTAGGGATATGTTGGGGGATAAGTTGAAACGCAAGGTGTCCCATGGTAAATACCTCATTTTGAGTCACATCACAAGATGACATGCCAGAGAAAAGCAACCCTGGGTGCTCGGAGTAGGGGCTCGTTTGCTTCACCAAACTTGTCTTCCAGCAAAATGGCGAAACTAAACCCGGACCCCGAATGGTTGGAAACCAGTCCCACATGTTGACTTTCCCGTCGCCTGTTCCTTCGAAAACGGCGAAAATCGCTGGCTGGACCGGGCCCCTCTTGGGATTTCCGCCTGATGCTCATCACTCCGAGCCCAGTTCTTGCTGGTCAACGACCTCGAGAGCCGGTGGATCCAGACTGGAGAGACGAAGACTGTCTGCTGGTTGGAAGGTCTGGCAATCCAAAGAGCTACTTTCTTTGCAGGAGCCATGGTTGAGGCATATTGACTCTTTGACTCCAAATGCAAGGTGTGTTGTGGGGTCGAATTGCTCCTAGGGAACTGTGCCATGTCCTCTCAAGTTAAGGTTCGGATCGAGAGCGGTCAAGCCTGGTATATAGGAGTTGAATCCAATTCGACGGATGCACAAAAGGGTAAGGAGGGCCTGGGGCGGCCCATACGGAAACCGTAGGATCTGTATAGCTGAAGGTTAGAAGGGTCCGCGAAAACACCGATCATAATGAGGTAGAAATACCCGGCCTTTTGATTCTCCATGGCAAACCACCTAAAGGTCTCCCCCAATTCGCGGGATCGAGCCCTCCGACGAACAGGGTTGATCAGCACTGTTTTTTGGCTGAAGGGGGCCCACCCTTGCCCCAAGGGAAAAGGAATCCGCTCAGAACCTTCTTTCCGGGCCCGAAAACGGGGGACCCTCCTTGGTCCTCCCTTTCGCGGGACCTCCGAGTGGACTCTTTGGTGACTTTTTGGGAGTCGGTGCCTGGTGAGAAAGCAAAACAGTCCACTTGGTCCTTATTCTGGGCCCATTTCGGACCCAGACTCAGAGACCAAGAAAAACCAAACAAGTCTCTCTGGGTTCTTCGCTTCAAGCGAGCTGTACCCACTCCACCTCCGCCCTACCGAACAAATTGACATGCTTACATCGGCGATCAGAGGTCTCAAGAGGAAAGCTTTCGTAAACCTCCAAGCGCCTTCCACGACCGCAGGCGGGGCCCATGGCCATGGGTCAAAACCCCGTGCCCCCCAGTGAAGAGTTTTCCGAATAAGATAGGTTCTAGAATGGGTGGCGAATTCACCTACCAACCAAAATGGGATCCCATTGGTTTTGACCATCCGACCATCCCCTGAGTTTTCTTTCCCTTAAGATCCAAAAGGCAAAAGAAGACCCCCGTCAAGCCTCGGTGGCAACCCAAAATCAGAATTTGCGTTTGCCGAGGTTGGGGCGCGGCCGAAACCAACATCAGGTGGGAGGTGACGCCTCCTTTATCCGGTCCAGAAACCACCTTAAAGACCACCACTTCCCCAAGTTCCTTCCATGTGCCATTGATTTGGCAGGTGAGTTTCCCCCTGGCGACCACCCCCTCGACCACCTCAAGAGGCCAGATCCCCGGAACCCGGGGACCGCGCAGCTGAAACCCGGCGTTGGCCTGAGCGTTGGGAAGGGAAATCCGTGATGTCAACGGACAAACTCCTGCAGGTCTCTCAACAAATTCAATTCGTTGTTCTTTTGCATTTTATCCGACTAACCACCAATGCCGGAGGTCATTGGGGCAGGCTCTTTAGCTCGTGCCCCTCATCATAGCTGGTTCCCCTTATCATAGAATTAAGCCTGGACCCTTTTTGGGTTGGCTTAGAGGTAAGCCACGAGGAAACCCACAAACAACGAGTTCCATACTTTGATCCAAACATAATGGCCCAGACCTTTGCATCAGGTGGCTGATGTAAAGGGGAAAAACGGAACCCCCCGAATTCCCAGCGCCTTGGTGATCTTCGCGTGCTCCAGGCAGGCGCTGAACACGGCACGGGAGCGCACCACCGAGGTGAAAGTGGCGAGGTCGTACAAGTTCACCACCACCTCATGCTGGGGTCATTATTTTGACTGTTTCTGGGGTTATCAAAGTCAGAAACTGGGGTTGTTTCCTTCAACCCATCACTTTAGGGGTGACTTTGATAAAGGGAAAATAAGAAGGCCAGTCATGGACGAACCAAACACAACGCTTGTCAACGCTTCCCTTAACGCCATGGGCCGGTGGGCCAACCACCGTATGAAAAGAAAAAGCAAACGTGGTTCAAGCAACCTCCTAGTGGCTTCCCTTTAAGGAAATTGGACATGCACCAGTTCACCACGAACAGGGAAGGCGCTAAGCCGATTTCAAGGGAAGTGAACCAAATCAAAATTGAGGTCCAAACAAGTTCAGAGCTGGCGAGAGGGAGGTGAAGGGAAGCTGCCCCTCAAAGGAATGGGAGATACTCCTGTGAGATGCTGAGTTTAATAGCTTAATGTTGTTTTTCCTTAAAATACATGTTAACACTTACCACCATGTTGGCTTTAGGAAGACCCACGCCAAACCTGTGGGTTGATCCAAGATGGTTTGAACCAATCTTGTTGGACCAACAGGTCGTTGCCTTAAAACTATAGCGATTTTAAAACAACCAAACACCTATATGAGCAACTTGATAACATACCTATAATATGTATGCAATATGTGTAAAAATACACACCTTGATATGTAGTGGCTATGTAGTGGTTGTATATCCCACCACTTGCCATGGGGACTAATTAGTTGTTCCGCCCGAAAACATCTCCCCCGAGAAAACTCATCTAAAATTGGTCCAAGCAATACTGAAACAGGCTGAGCAGGATGAAGTATGTAGGAGCCGCTGTAACTCGTTTAGACCTGAAAGGGTAATCACAAGGGGTACGAAAACCATGGCAGGGGCGAGTGGCAGGGTTACGCCTGCTTACACTATTGTTCCCTTTTGGTTTCCCTTTCAAACAATTCGGGCCAGGGGCACGGGGTGGGGTGAGTGAGTGCAGCTTCATGTTGACCGTGTTCTGCGGGTTTCAAGCCGAAAGCCACTACTAAACCACACACCAAGCACACAAGCCACGGCCAAACCCACCCAAAGTGAACCCTAAACCCGCAAAAACAACCTGGTCCGCCCTTTTTGCCAAGCCCGAACGAATCCCAAACCCACCCAAGACCCGCCCTCAATGAGATGGAAGCCAATGTGAAACCATTATACCAGCCCCGAGCAATTCCCAACTGCCGGAGTCAGAGCCAATATGCAGCTATGTCCAAGTAGGCGTGTCCACCAACACCAACCAGCCGCGGAACTAGACCCAAGAAAAACTAGTCCCAGCGAAAAACAATTCGCTGCTAGACACACTCATTGTCAAACAAGAAAAGAACACCGACTTGCAACGAAAGGGGGGGGGGCACACCTTATCCGAAACCAGCCACAGGAGCAAACGCAGGACACTACACCCAAAACAAGGATGTTGGCAAATGTCTTGTAGATGTTCCTGTCGTTGGTTTCTGAATGACCTTCAGCAATTCGCGCTGGCTTTACCCCCGCGCTCGAATCCCGCCTGCAGCTCAGAAGCTTGAGACATCTGCACCCAGGTGACCTATGGAGCACAGCTCTCTGCGCCGATTGGTTTGCTGGGGCCTTTTTGCCCAACCCCGCTTGGCTTGCTGAGAAAAAGCAAAACCGGAACCGAGGGATCAACCTTTGCGCCTTGAAAGGCACCGGTGACAAATGCAGCAGTGAAACGTAAGGGAAGCCACCCCCTGTCGCAACCAAATCCGCATTTAAGTCTGCAAACTGATTGAAGTCAAGCTTGGTTATGTGCAATCTTGACGATCCACTTTTGGTTGGTGTTCTAAAGCAAAACCAAAGGGACAATCATGATTGTGGGGGGGGGTCCTACCTTCAAAAAAGAACGCGCCACCCGTTTCCCATCTGCAACTATCATGGAAACCAACAGCAGGAATTTCTACAGCAAACTATCCTCCAAAACCAGGAGGTTCCTGTAGAGTTCCCTTTTTGCCACTAACGTGCTGCAGCTGGCCGACAGGGCTGAAGATGGTTCATCCTCGTTGGAGGGTGTTGGTGTGCCGGTCGAACATACGTGGGGGTCCCTGACCTCCTGCCCGGCTGTACATGCGAAGACTAACATAAAGTTGTTCTTTCCAAAACCCGGGGGCCCGAAAACCAAAATAGAATCCTCCGCCTTGAAACCTCTGGAAAACCCACACTTCAAAGCCAACCGCCGGGAGCATTGAACATTTCGGTACTCTTCCCCCCCAAAAAAAAGAAGAAGAAGAGGGAAACAACTATGTTTGTCAATGGCTCATGTCGGAACAACTCTAGAAAAAAGACATAATCACTCAGAAGCAGAAAAAGGAGTTATTATGACGGAGCCTTCGTCATACTCCTCATTTGAGCAGCGCCCGACACCCTTTAATTGCCGTGTCTACCAAGATGGTCATATCTACGAGTCAGTGGTCACAACGGTTCGTAGACGCCTTGCTATAACCTTGATAAAGGGTGCTTGATAAAACAGGGTAGTAGAAGCACCCACGTAAACAACCAATTCCGGTATGGATGAGGAAAATCCCGCCATCTGCACAACTATTCTATCACTCCGGAGGAGGTGCCCGGGAAACCATAGAAAATAACTTCCACAAACCTGCGCTAGAACGGTCAAGGGGTACATATCTTCCTGGACCCTCTATTTACCCTACAAACATGAACATATCCCGATCATGTTGGGCAATATCCGTTTTGGTAGTTTGAGGGCCCAGGCACCTACTTCAGTAAGTACCGGGTAGTTACCCACCCTGTGCTGAGTTGCAAAAGGAGTTGGGGCGTGACTTTCTTTGATGGTTCCCTTTGTAGGCGGGCGTTGAAACGAAACCAAAGGGACACCACTCTTTTTGGCGGTCCCTCAGAGCCACGCGCGTATGTACGCGGCGAGTACCAAAACAGCGGGTCTTGGCCTCGATCAAGTCCACCAGCAGCTCCAGCATCGCAGGCAAACCCACCGCCGGATTCTGCCGGGCGTTCTCAAAGCCTAAGGTCCCACACGGAATTGCACACATGGACGACCCCTGTGGGACCCTGGCATCTGCCAAAACAGCTGGGAGGAGAACTGGGAGAGAGCCACATAGAAGGCTAAGAAAGGGGATTCCCTGATTGCCCTTAGCCGGTGGGCGAGTGTTCACAAAGCCGTCTGGTTCTTTGCTTGTTGTTGTTTTGCTTTTGTGCTTGTGTGTTGCTTGTTTGCGGCTTGACTGCAGGTTTTTGCTTGAGGCGGCTCTGGGAGGGCTCTGGGAAGGTTCTGGCAAAACAAAACAAATGACCAAAGCCCAAGATGGCCCCAGAATCCTTCTGAACGGCTGGCTTTCTGACAGGTTTTCAGCACCACCCCACTAAAAGCTACCCTTCAAAGGAATATCTCCGTTTTGGGGGTCCCTCTATTTTGACACACACACACATTTGGGTGTGACTCAAAATTAAAGAGCCAGGGTTACGCAGGATTTAGTCTTTGGTTCCTTTTACCAAGGTGCGATTTTGGTACATCTTTTTGCGCCACAGCCATTTGAATTGTCAACCTGATTTTGGAGGACCAGGGTCTCATTTTCAAATCAACCTGGCCACGACACCTTTGCTGTTCCCCACACCCATCCGCCAGTCGGCATAGCGCAATTGCATCCACTCGGCGGGGTTTTTGACCCCCAAAAAACATGAAACGCCGCAACATCCTGGCCACTTCGTTTTACCAAGATCAAAGGCACCGCAAGGGAAACAATCTCATGTGCTTGACTTTGATCATTGATAGCCCCCACAAACGACCAGGATAATAGCCCCAGTTCTAGACATTCGCCTGTGACCCAACCCTTTGAATCTCCATACCCCTCGGACACAAACACCAATAATTGGAAGAATTTAATGGTGGAAAACGAGCCACGACAAACACAAGTCAAATGAAATCCTGATTGCCTTGCGGGACTATGTTAACCGTTAAACTCACGTTTGATCCAGTGCTACTAGGTAAGGGGGGAGGTAGAATCGGTCCTTGGTAAACAATGGAAGCAAAACCAATTGTATATAGCCTTGGGTTTGGTCAGAGCAAGCCTGTCCAATTTAATCTAACATGGTCGTAAATCAGTCGGAAACGCAAGGTATGGCGGAGCCACGCAAAGAGTCCCATGGTTGTCAAGGTGTTTTTCTGGGCCCATTCCGATTCCCCAATTTTGTGGGCTTTCTTGCCACCAAGACCACTTTGCAAGCTTTCCCCGGGCCTTTGTGCGCCTTGCTTTGTTGGGCGCGGAGGGTCAACGCCTCTGTCACACCAAGGGGCAGGCAGGCAAATAGCTCAGCAGGCTGGCGTGATGCCGGATGCCGTCCGCCAGGAAAAAGTCCGTGAGCACGGCCTCTCGAAGTGAAGAGCTCTGGCTCAAACCAAAATGCAACCTTGCAGTGCGATCCATGGATTCAGCCGGGCAAAAAAATAGAGAGCTCCACTGGGGGAAACACCCGCCCTGGCTCATCCAGGCTGATTCATCTCGGCTTGGGGGCAATCCTCGATGCGTTTCAACGCTCCCTCCCATGGCTCGAGCACACGTCGACTCTGGCGTCTCTCCTTCTTTTTTTTTTCCGGGCCCGGAATCAACGCGATCCGTCGGGGGAATCAATCAAACTTGAGGGGAAACAATGACACCCAACCACACATCATGGAAACAAATCTGCGTCATGGAAACAACATCACAGAAGCAACTGCACCAACACAAGTTGAACCCCCAAAGCCTTGTCGGAGGGCGGAACCTTAGACCAGCAGCTGTACAACAGCTGCAAATCCTCGCCGGGAGAACGCGGGGTCGGGGCTCGGAGGGGGGGGGCGTTCCTCATGTTACTTTCGGAGTGAAAGTTGCGATTTTCGAGAAAGAGCGTTCTTCACGTACTACATTTTGCTGAAAACAGCTGGGAAGGCGTACTTGGCTTGCTACTACTCGAGAGCTCCCGTCCAGCCTACCCGCCACAGAAAAATAAAAAATAATTAGGACTTGGGAAGGTGCAAAAGAAAAGTTAGCTAGTGTTTTTAGGATAGTTACGTAACACACGAAAAGGTGGCAGGAGAACTCAAAATAGGGGAGTCTCACGCATACCTATATGGGGAGTTCTCAAAATAGGTGACCCCTAGAATGGTTGGCTCGCAACAGGGAGTTGTTGCCCCGCGCTTATTTGGAGAAACTCTCCATTTCACAGCCTGTCTCTCTCTCTCTCTCTCTCCATCTGTCTCTCTCTCCCTCTCTCTCTCTCTCTCTCTCCCTCTCTCTCCCTCTCTCTCTGTCTCTATCTCTCTCTCTCTATCTCTCTCTTTCTCTCTCTCTCTGTCTCTCTCTTTCTTTCTCTGGGCACCATTTTGTGGTTTCAAAGGGAACAAGCGTAGGTGAAGGCTGAAGCCGGCTACGGCAACAAAGCGGCAAACCATCATCATGGCGCCCTAGAGTTTCCCTTAAAACATCACCCCAAGGGATACTCGCCTTTCTTGGGCAAAGAAGGTGATGTTTTTCATGGGGGCTGGGGGGGGAGGAAGGGGAGGGGGAGGGAGCCGAAATAGGCCTTATTTGGGGCTTATTGGGGCTCCCTCCCCCCCTCCCTCCCCCCCCAGCCCCCATGAGTTTAAGGCCAACCCAAAACGGAAATCGCTCGGCACTGAGCATCGGAGGTCCCAACTCCCCCCCCAAAAAAGCAGCGACGGCGCGCGCGCGAGTTCGCTCCTTGCCGCGGGCGTTGATGCGGCAGATCCGCGCCAGGCGCACAAAGGCCAAGTCCTGCAAAGCGAAGGGCTCTTATGGCTTGCTTGCTGTTGACCCCTGCAAAAAGTTTAACTTTTGAGGGGTTTAGTGGAAAACACCTTTATTTCCCAAGAAGTTAAAGTCTAAAGATCCAACCCAATAGCAGTCAAGATAGGGTACCCACTCAAAAAACACGAGGCTGGACCCCACTTCCCAAAACGCAACCCATGATTTTGGGGCGCAATCTCCAAATGATTGTGGGTTTCAGGGTGAAGGAGCTCTTTTTGCGAGTGAATCACAGCTCACGCAGATGTTGGGGTGATGGGGAATCAAAATCGAGGCATCCCCTGAAGAATAAATCATGCTTGACTTCTAAGATGGTCAACAGAACCCATTCGAAGGGGTAGACCCTCCTTGAAAAGGAACCTCGACATGACTTGTGGGCGAGTCCTCCTAGAAGCCTCATTGCCGAAACAGCCCTGGTCCCATGCTTTAAGGGCAGGATTGAGGAAAACTTGGCGGCCTTGCCCACGACTCTCTCACCAGCTTGCCTTGAGTCTGCCATGCCGTTTTTAAAACCAGCATCTATCCAGGCTTACAACTGTGAATTCACCCTATCATTTGGGGTTACAATCTCCGGACGCTTGAGGATTGGGGGCAATCTCCACCCTTTGTTCGCTCAATTTACAGGGTTTGAGGAAGGGCTCCCTTGCCAGGACCCAGAAATCAGAGATTCACCTCTGGGGGCCTCGCATGGAAATGAGGATCCCGCTTAGGTTGCACGGGGTCGCGTCCTGCGGCGCGACTTCGGGTAACCGCAAGAGCCGGCCCCAGGAGCACAGGTAGTCCCAGTAGATCTCCAGTGACACCTGGAGAAGAAAGCTGAAAAGCGAGACTGGTTTTCCACTTTCCCGAAAACCAGCCTGACAAATACCAAAGCCCAATCAAAAATGAGCTCCTTGCAAATGAACCTTGGATTGCCCCTCCGGTTGGTAGAATCGGTCTGTTTCACTTCAAAACCCATGCCAATCGGTGTCTTGCTGTTGACCATTTGTTGTAACCCAATAGGAAATCACCAACATCCTTTTAGTTCCGCATTCTAGATTGAGACAACCCCATAATACAAAGAAGCCTCGGGCGCATCATCCTATGTGTGTCAAAGTGCTTAGGGGAGACTTCCTTTTCGACCAATATAGGGACCAACCCCCGATGTGTGCACCAACCAATCGTCCGTCTCATTGTTTTCGTCGCCAACTCAGAAGCCCAGACTTCCTCGGGTAGGGCACACGCGTTGGTTGAACTTGGGTGGATCCAAGAAACACAAAACTTGACAACAAAAATCCAAGCAACAGCAACCTGTTCCTTTTCACGTTGCCACGACGACTGGACTGGGTCCTAAGTTGGGATCCCTCCTTCTGACCGTTCAAACAAAGGGACCCCCGCTACGGGTCGGAAGGAGACTCCGGGTGACGTTTTTTGGAGCCCCTTCAAACCAACCCCTAAAACTCCATACCAAACGCCCCGCAAAAAGCAAAAAGACGAAACACACACACACACAGACACACACACGCCGCGGCCATTTCTTCGGCCTCCGGGCCGGGCCGGAGGTTCTTCAAGGCGCCGAGCCCCAGCATCACCATCTGCGCCATGTTCTGCGTCAAGAAATGCGAGCCTCGCGCCGTCGAAGCCGGCGAGACGTGGGGTGTGGGGGTTGTGCGTGCACACCTTTTTGGGGTCGGTGCTCCAAATAAAGGAACCCAACAAAAAGCCCCATGTTGGGCAATCACCCTATTTATGAGCACGTGGCATTGGAAAGGGACGGAAATCGAAAGGAAGGCCACCTTTAAATGAATACATGTTCTTGGCGCCAGGAATTGTTTGCTTGTACCCAAACCTAGTTGTGACCCTTGGGGTTGAGCATGGCTGGGCCAAGGGGTGTCTAAAGCCAGCGAGGGCCAGAACAGTGTTTCTCAAAATCAAAACGACCCCGCTTTTGGTTGGTGTGGAAAGGGAAACCATCAGGAGACTCCCAAAGATGACCGATTCCAATTGGAGGCTTCCTCTCCAATATGAGTTTGTCTTGTTGAGGGAACCCACATAAGTTGGCGTGTCGCAAAATCGGACCTCCAAATGACTCTCTTTGCCCCAAACAGCGCGCAAACAAGCAAACACCAACTCCATGTCCCTTTAGGTATAGGGAAGCCACACTTAAACAAGACAAGGACTATGGCTATAGAAGCAAAACACAGATGCCCAGTGGCCATGGAAAAAGGGGGCATTTTTGGGGGGTTGCTTGACTTTCAAGGGGAACCCTTGCCCAAAAAAAGGAAAGAAGGGCGCCACGCCTGGGATCTGGTTCCCGTTTGGTTCGGCCACCTGTGCAGGTAACTGCCTCCCTCAAACCGGCCTGTGCAGCCCCAAGAGGCGCCCACGCCAAAGAGAATCGCCAGCTCAGCGAGCAAGAAAAGCTTGAAGACTATGGGCTCCTCGTCTTTCCTCGGTTTAGAGGTGTTAGTTTTAGAGGGGTTGGAGACTTTTTGTTGGACTTGTTGGGATTCTTAGCGCATTCATTTTAGGGGCGGCTAGAGGGGTGGACTCTCCGGCCCAGATTTCGGCTCTAAGCCTGCAATGGAAGTTCCCATGCTTTGTCCTCCTTTGAGCTTTTGCCCCACGAGGGCCCAAAGGGCGCTTTAAACACATCCGAGTCTGGAGTGAACTTCATGCGACAAAGCAGATGTTCGAGGAGCCGCAAGGACGAGCCGCTAGTACGCAGAACACAACACCTCCATCAAGATGCCAATCCGAGCAAAAGGCTCTAACACATGGACAATGGTTTTCAGGTTCACGTAAATCCCGAACCCCAAATCGACAGACTATGGTCGCCCTGAAAAAATATGACACCTCGAAAAGGAACGAGTTCTTGCGTATTGCCATTTGTCCGCGTATTTGCTTGTTTGAGCGGAAAATCCGGAACATGCTCGGAAGTGTTACTTATGTTTCTGCATGTTTCAGCCAGCCCTGCTGGAAAAGTGTTGCGAATATGGGACATCGGCCGGAAGTGCGCGCAAATCTGCGGAAAAATGCGCGGAAGTGTGCGGGAAATACCCATGCCGCGGTCCATTGTGGCTGGCCACCATGACGAGGTGGCGGATTGGAAAGCATGCGTTGCAGAAATCAGCGTTTTTGACCGGCATGAGCATTTCTTCGGCTCGTTTCGGAAAAGAGTGGGACTTGTTCCTTAGTATGCAGGTACTTATCCATATATACAGATAATCACTACATTATTTTGGAACTATCCTATTCTTGAGTGTAGTTTGAGGGTTCAGGTATATGAAGCTCTATATCATATTGAATGAACGACAATCTTACATACCATACGAAACACAAGAGGACCGTAGTGGGGGGAAAAAAACAACCTTCTGTGATAAACAAAAAAGTTTGTCCCCATGACTACTTGATCAAAATGCAATTTTGGAGGTCTTTAGTATCACATAGTGGACCGCCAAACGCCCATATCCCTTTCGGCAAAGCAAGGGACACATATATAGAAATATATATATATATATATACATACATATCGGTTGGCCTAGGCATGCGAGGCGGTATGCTTGCTGCACGCTTTGGGGTATGTGTTGGAGCTGTTTGCTTGGTACATATGCTTTAGTGCTGGGCAGCAAAGAACCTGGACCCTCACAATACCCAACCTGGGCTATTGCCCTAAACTGCGTGATCTTCTTCCATTCAGAGTTTGAGGGTCCAGCGGTTGATTAACATGGCAACGGTTAAGAACCCATCTCCAAAGTCATCAACGATAAGTTGAGGGGGGATATTTGTCATAAGAAGCCACTTTCCTCCATCACAAAAGGATAACAAGCCTCGAGTCCAATTCAACTATGTCCTTAAGCCTGCAGAGAAATACCAGCTAATACCTGCTTTTTTCCAGCTTAAAAGGATAACAAGCAACGAACCCCAAATTCAACTGTGTCCTTAAGCCTGACAAAGACATACCTAGCACCCGTCAATGACTGCTTTGCGGACAGCACTTGGGATTCTGGGCACGGGAAAGGACACTCGGGGGTGCCGTGCACCAACGGCTTACAAGGCTCAGCGCTTGCTGCAGGAGGTAGATGTTGTGCGGCGTGTTCTCCCCCTGCACAAACTGCGCGAAGGCGAAGGCTTTGCGGAGCCTGGCGGTCGGCGCCGTGGCGCTTGCGGTGCGGCTGATTTCGACGATCCGCCACCGAAGAATCGACTGATTTCAGGGGGTCCACTTAGGTGGCCGAGAGGTGACTTGGTTGAACACAGAAATGCAGATTTTCCGGAAAACAACACGCACCCACGCTGACGAGACTTGTTGGTGCTTTTATCAATCCAGAAAAACAAATGAACAGCTCAAAGCTGGCGATTCAACACGCAAGGTGCTGCCGGTGCCCCTGTGCAGTGCAGGGGAACAGTGAGGAAAAGCTGGCCGTTGATCAGTCTAGTCGTCTATTCGTTCAAATGATTCTTCACACCCCACAAGGTTCAAAGCCGTTTCGATACTCGCCAGCAAGACCCCTGCTCAAACCATATAGTAGTTCTCCTCTTTCCAAGAATTACGGAAGTGAGAGAAGGAACCTTTTCAAAAGGATCGTAGTCTTTCAAAACCCTCCCATGCAACCCGCTTTTGTTCAAACCTGCGCGTGGTTTCCCTATGCAAAGGGGACGACATTTCCTCGGGCACTGGAATGAGCTGGATATTCGGGAGGCTAAACGTTCCCGAAACTTGCTCAATCCTGAGTCCTGTCTCTATGGGAGCTTTGGAGGTCCAAGGCAAAAGGGAAACCTCCCATTGCGCTTCCCATCTTTAGACACGTATGTCAATGTGTCAAAATACCCAAGCCCGCTCAAAAGCGGCTCAAGCAGCTCCGGGGTGGTTCGGCGCAGCTTGCAGGAGGGGCTGTGGAGATTCGCTTCGGGGCTGTTGATTCCTGAAGTCTGAGTTGGCCAAGAGGATTCCTATGGAGAAGTTGCCAGAGAAATGCAATGGACTCTTTCCAAAAAGGGGAGTGGCTTCCGAGGCCGAATGAAGGATCGCTAAGGGAATCAAGGGAAGAAAGGCACCGGACCAGGGTTGCACCGAACTGCTGCAAAAAACAGAAAATGTATCCCAAGTCAGGGATCTGTAGAATCGATGCGAGCGCTTTTGATCAGAAAAGCACCCCCGCCTGGCAACCTTTGTCACCACCGCCAAGGTGTCCTGCTCGGGAAGGAAATCTCCGTGATACACGTGATGTTGACCGCAGAATAGTATACCCCTATTGATAGAGGGGGGGTTCATAAGATGAGTCGCGACTCACCCCAAAGACACCCCCCTAACCTGGGGGTGATGAATCTGGGGCTCCCATTGGGTCAGGTGAAAGTTGGTGGTGGCAATCCCTGGTAGATTCCATGGGGGAATGACAGGGCGGAATTGTGCCTTCGTCCACCCAATTCCCCCCCAACGAGTTTTTCCGAGAAAAAAAAACACATGAACTGAGGAATAAAACCAATCTAAACCAGTGCCCATCAATTTCTAACAAAACTAACATGTGCGAAACCGTGCGAAACCGCCCCCCCTGAAGTCGAAACTCCGCAGTGGTCCTGGTCCAACCCTCGTACAGAGGGTGCCACGTTGTGCATCACCAAGAGCATGTACAGCACAGCCTCGTCCGGGTCCTGCCAGCCGGGCCAACGTTGGGGGTGACGCCGAACAACCGTTTTTTTTTTTTTAATGGTGGCGTTCCGGTGGTTTTTCCTTTAAAACCACCAACGAAAAGAGGGAACAGGGGGTACCCTCAAAGAAAAAGCATACGCAACTGGCCTCAAACACCTAAAAACAACACAAAAAAACGGCACCAGGTGCTCACAGCCTTCTCGTGAAAAGCCGCACACCGCAAAATGAGGAACCAGCAGAGCTCTCCACAACGAGAAAGCATGAGAAAACCAGCCATTGTCAGCGGCAATTGGTTGAGTTCCTCAAAGTAATGGAATAAGTTTTAAAAAACAAATGTGGCAGCGTGTGGCCATTGCAAACTCCTTGGACCCGGGTGAGCAACTTGGGTGTGACCAAAATGAATCATGGACATATGATCTCATGGGAAACGCTTTTAAGACGAGCTCACCCATGATACTCTGCAAAGCCACAGAAGCAGACAAAAGGGGTTTCCAAAACGAGACGTCTCAGATTCCTCTAAACATTGTGGGTTAGAATTTTGTTTGAGTTCCATCTTAATCTGTGGGGAAGGGCTCGAGACTGTCTCAGTTTTGTTTAGTTTCTGGCTTGGCCCTCGCGATGGATGAGGTGAAATTATAACGAGCTCCAGGGGCGAGCTGAGGTTTGGTGACAAAGGCTTTTGGGGGGCTTCACTATCTCTCTTCCTCTTGAATTGGTCGGAAATAAAGTACAAAGTCAGACTTGTTGTCTATCCCTGCATTTCCTTAAAATAGTGAGCTAAACCAAGAAGTAGAACCCCTCACCTCGTTTTATCTTGCGGGTGTGGGGTGATAAGTGATGGCCATTCTGCTCCCACCTGCCCGCAGAGGTTTCGTTTTCGGTTCCAAGCGATAAGTTTGAAGGAAACAACAGTTTGCGATCTTTGACAGTATCAACTACCACGTACTCAAACCTCCCCACAGCGGAAGTTTCCAAGAACAAAAGGTGCCTGGAAGGCGGCGTCAGCCCACATGGATCCCAGAAGTGAGTGGACGATTTGTTGCCAAAAGAAAAACTGGCAAAATGGCAACTGTACTTTTGAGACCTCCAACATGAAGACTTTTAGCAACCCATGGGTGTGACTTTTTTTGTTGGGAGGTCCCCCCCCTTTGTGGTACCAGGAAACCAAGAGGAGAACCACCAGCCCTGCCGCGTCCCAGGCTTTGAGGCTTGTCGCGGGGAGAAATCGACAGGATCCATTGTTTTGATCGGAGCAACCTAAGGCAGCCAAGCAGCACCATTCTTTGATGGGTGCTGGACTATCTGCCATAGTCTCGTGGTCTGTCCCCACATCAATCTTCAAACTTTGCAACCCCCAAACCTCATAGCCGGCTTTACCCCGAATCGCTTCGCTCAGCTCGAAACAAAATCTGTTTAATTAGGCCAACTCTGGGCCTGACCCCCACAGCGGTTAGACTTCCTAAAAGGACCCCAAGTTGCGGGGCATCAGGGCGTCCCCCATGTCCCTTCTAAATGAACCCCAGACTCTCCCAGACTTTCTCTCGACCAAAGCGCTTGCCTGGTGAGAGTCGGGGAACTGCCAGGAGAGATGCTTAGAACCGCTGAGGCCGCTGACCACGATGAGAACGCACAGCCCGTAGAGCCACTTCAAGCTGGACTTCACCTGGCTGAAAGGCCCCAATGTTCTCAAGTATTGTGAGATGAGGTGAAGTGTGCATGGGGCGTTGCCAAAAATATGGACCCTCTTGGGACCTGGTGCCGTGGTGCCGCCTTGCGCTGCTTTTTCAGGGGATACCAAGAAGGGCCCCACATACTTGCATCAGGTACAGCGACCTTGGGAGCCACTTACAGAAACTTCGCCAGACAGCCGCCGGCTTCTTCTCTCGCAGGATTTGTTTTTATCTCGCCCAACAATGGTAAGCCTTAAAGGGGTGGAAAAGAATCCAACCAGCTCCGCAGCATTCCGGCCGGGCTTGGGTTCCAGAGGTTTGTGTGAACACGGGGGTGTCACAATCTGGGCACAGGATCGGACTGGGCCCGAGGCAGCAGCGCCCTTTGATTGGGTTGCACCTGGAAAGAATCTCCCAAGCTGCTCTGGTAGAGGTGCTTCTTTTTTTGCCTAGCGCTGGTTTTTCGCTTTTCGCATAGCATCACCAGCCTCACTTGCACCCAGAGCCTAGAATTGCCTGATGGCTCTGACTCGGTGGGAGTTGCTCGGGGCTGCTTTCATTGTGGGTGGTTGTTGGCTGGCTTAGATCTTGGGCGGGTCTTGGGTTGGTTTGGGGTTCATTTAGGCTCAGCAAAGGGCTGACATCCAGGATGCTGTTGGGTGTTGGGTGGAGTTAAGCCTGACTTTGGTGGGTTTGTGCTTGCTAGGAGCTGATTTGTGTTTGGTGCGGTGGCTTTAGGCTTGCTTTAAGGTGTGGTTGCGTGATTTGTTGGGCTAGTTTTGGTGGTTCGGGACAACACTCCAAAACCCATCCTAAACCAAGGGGACACTGACCCCAACGAAGCCGCGTTAGCCGCTGGGGCACGCTGCATCAGGAATGACGGAATTGGGCCCTTTGGCCATAGCTGGGGCTTGAGAGCCGGTACAGAGGCCCGGTCGAACTGCAAGGAGTGTTGTTGCCAGATCTGATTGAAACATGATGACATACGCTGCGCTGTTCCACAACTACAGGTGTCTGAACACAGGTCTGCATGGGGACACCTCATCCGGGCGATTACACACAAGCCCGGGCAACTTGACACACGCACCCAGTATTGACATGTATTGACACTAGGGTTTGGCTCACTTTCTTTGAATAACAATAAATACCCCCCAAAAAATAGAAAAGAAAACAAACAAAAACCAAACAAACAAACAAACAAACAAACAAACAAACAAACAAGCAAACAATCAAACAAACAAGCAAGCAAACAAGCAAACTAACAGACACACAGGCCCAATTTCAACAAGGAGTGCAACAGGTTGTCAAGTGACATCTGGATTTCAACAAACCCAAATATATGTTGCTAACTGCACTCAGAAAGTCTAAACTTTGCTTGCCTGCCCTCAAGTAATTATGAAGCTCAAAAACTTGGGCGAGATCGTTGGGGAAGTTACTAAGCTTCATGCCCGAGGTCGCAAACCAAACCCCCTGCGATGTGTGCAACAAAGTTTTGATGGGGAGGCCCTGATGCCTTTCTGAGAACGCAACGGTTCATCTACTCAAGCGTGGCTAACATCGCTCGCCAACAAAAAAGTCGGGCAGCAATTTGATCATCTCGATCGCTGAGGGCAACGGGAAAGGGACAAAGGGTCATGTTTGCACCTGGGAATCGCCCGAAATATGGCTATTCAAACAGTGTTCAACTCCCAGCAAAACTCAACTCAGCTTAAAAAGTGCATCGTTCCCTGCAGAATAACATGGAACCCAACAGCCCTCGTCATTTATAGAGAAAACCCAGAACTCCAAGGGACAAAAGGGCGCACTGTTTGGTTGACTCGTGGGTTTCCCTTCCTTCAAAAAGGAACACATCGCTGGTTGCAACTGAGGGATACCTGGGAACCATTTAGCCGCCTCTAGGATGAAACGTCATACAAGAATCATGTCTTGCTAAGTCTACGTTCAGTCGACTCGAGAAAAGACGCGCCACACCCATCTATCAGCTGCCCTTGATTGGTGGTTTGGCTTGGTTTGGATTAGGATTTGAACCCCTTCTTGTAAAGTGACCATGGGTCAACATCAAATCAGACCGCAGGCTTGGTTTAGTCCTTATTTCCATTTAGCAGGGTCCCATCTTGGGCACGCATCTTTGACCCGCAGGGAATCAACGGGAAGTCCACTTCGCCGGCCCCGGGCTCGATCGCTTCGCCTCCGTCCAGGCCACGAACTCCTGGAGCCGTTCCCAGGTCTGGCGGTCCATGCGCGACTCGGTCCGCTGCGGCTGGACGAACTCGTGGTGCTCGTCCTGGGGTAAGCAAAAAAACCAACGTGTCTCCTTTTCCTCCAGATTGCTGGAGTCCCCGGAGGGAAGAAAAAAAACATTGACAAAAATATGTGTAGTAGTCATAGATTCCCTTTAAAACCAAGAGAGGAAGGAAAATCACACATACTCTCCTAAGCAAATGAAAGTGTTGACCCGAATCAAACATGGAACCATTGTCTTTTGGGGAACATCTGTAAAACTCGTCGTTCTTGGGACCTGTGGAAATGTAGAGCGCTTCATTTTCCGGGAGCGGGGTTGAGCCCCGTAACTTGGCCGAACCCTCAAGTACCCTGAGAACACAAAACGGGCAGAGCGACTCAGCGACTCCGATTTGCCAATGGCATCAGGCCGAGTTCATCCTTGGGATGTTCGTTGGTCGTGCACGTCAGACGCATGCCAACCACGCACGCGCATGGCAGATGCTGACATGGTCTGTGGGCTACAAGAAGTGTAATTGTTGTACCCTTTTCACCTGGATTTGAAAGGAAACCAGAAGGTTGGGGTACCTGTGTTCAGGATGCGCTCTTGCCCCCCCCCCCCTGCCAAAAAAAAACCACACACCAGTTGGCAGGTGGTTTATCCCAGTATTTATAAGGCTTTTCCATCCCCACTGGAGCAAAGTGGAATATTCACACTGCCACCTGTGATCCCTTGCCTGTGGCGACTAACGTTTAAGCCACAAAACACCCAAGCAAACCCGTTGTTCATGAGTTCTATAAAAACCCATTGGCAACACAGCCTGTCTAGACCACTCAAGAAATCAGCATCGTTCAAACTTTGATACGCAAAGATACCATTTCTGAGATATTAAATTGGGCCATCCCCATGACTACGTGCTCCCTTTGAAGGGAATTCCTTTTTCTATCACACAAAGGCGCCTTAAAACCTAATTGTTCATTTTAAAGTGGGCCAAAATGAGTCCGGGTCCAAAGCGCGTGAGTGACTCAGGCATACTACAATTCACAAACTGGACAGTGCTCATTCTACCCGATCGGTGGAACCGCTCGCTATGAAATACCCCTAAAATATTGGTTCCAACAGACTCTGAGGCTTATGATGCCTGATGCTTTTCCTAGACCCCTTTTCAGGAAGGCGGACCCCAACCAAGGCCGTGTTTTTGTCAACCCGCATGGCTTGGGCTATGGTCCGAACGTGAAGGACAGTTGTGGCGACAAAAAAAACAACGTGTGAGGGTTCCCCTAAGATAGTCTCCAAGGGGTTGTCTACAACCCCGAAGTTCATAACCACACCATTACCCCTAAGTGTGTAACCAGGTCATCCCAGATTGTCAAACCCAAGTAAAGCGGCGGGACATCTGCAGTCCTTTACCAGCCACAACAAGCTGCAAATGCTGCTGACGGCACGGGCGGCTGAACCATCCTGAGCAGGAAAGCACACACCCGAAGGGCACACCCCAAACACAATCCCTTGAAGATTAAACTAGGAAACAACTGGTGTGGTTCGTGTGGGGCGTGTAGCAAATCTATGAAACGAAAAACACAGCGAGAACAAACACGGTCTACCATACTTGGGGACGGCAGTGTCTCGCCCATGAGAGCTGGCTCGATATGGGTTCTAAGCGTTCGCAACGTTTGGCTTTGGCCTCCAATCATGGTAATTAACATTGCGTTCAGATTTGCATTTCATTGTCGGGTTCACAAATTCCCCGGCCGTGATTCATATGTGACCATTTCCCTTGGAAAGAAATAGGGGCAAATAACTCGCGGAACCTCGAAACCTCCGGGAACCTGCCCCAGTACTGACTAGGACCTCATAGCTGTCGCTGGCGAAAAACAAATCAGTCAAACCAACAGGAACAGGCAAGGAGAAGCGCTTTCAAGCTAACTGGAACGATCAGGCCTTGACAGTTGGGTGTCTGGAACCTGCAGAAAAAAAAAAGAAGGAAAGCAAGATTGACCCTGGACAGTTGGGCATAGTTGGGCTGAAGGCTGGGTCGTGGCTTGAGGTTCAGCTGCCCAGCCGACTTTCCTGAAGGGAGGGGGGTTGGGGTTCCAGTTCCAAGGGGTCCATTCCGCCCAAGCCTTCAGCAGGATCCCATGTGAACCGTTTCTGCCGAATTTTGGGCCGTGAGCCTTCTTCTGTCGCCCGCCTGTTTCCCCCCACCTGTTTCTTCCGGCAGTGGTTGCCATGATCCTTTCGAGGGCCCGAGATTGGTGATTCTTAGATCGCGCTGTGGGTATGCACGGTGTCCCTACGGATAAAAGGACATCTCCAATTCAAGGAGCACAGTGCAAAGGGCACCACGCTGCAAACAGGATGGCCAGCGTACTTAGGCAAACAACAGTCACCGAACTGCTTTGTGTATCCCCTAAAAGGACCTTCCTAAAAGATGGTCCAGAAAATATATGGACCTTGTTTAAGGCTTTAAGGCATGTTGCTATATGTATATATATATACACATAAATTTAAGATATATCATGTGGTTTGCGTAGGGACAACAAGGCTCCAGTTGTCTGTTGCTTCACAAATAGGGCTCCTTTGTTTCATCGTCTCTGTAAAGCCACTCTGCGATGACTGCTTTTCCAGACACCGACACTTGGACAGCTTCCCACCAAACCCAACATCCCGTACACCAACATATGGCATAAGGATTGACTGAGCTTTGAACTGGAGTACAGTGTTCGGAGGCTTTGTTTGTAGCGGAAAAACAGAGAACAACAAAAACAAACAAAAAAAGAAACAAATCCGCCCAAGCTTCGTTTGAGAAGATCTCATAGGTGCCGTTCGGGAGCAGCTCGGGGAAAAAGCCTCAGAGCGGAAGCCGGGAATGGAGCGTCGTGGATCCAGGTGGATCGTCTGCTTCCATGTGGTTAAGACCCCTAGAAAAAATGAAGAAAACAACCAGTGATAGATTCCCTTTAAAAACCAAGGGGAAAATAACAATTATTCTTAAGCAAATGGAAGTCTGCAGTGGGTAGCTCGCGCTTGAAGCTGGGGTGGGGTGGGGTGGAGCACGGGGTACCCTCTGGAGAACCTGAAGGGAGCCTATCTGGGCAAAGACCCTGTAGCTTTCAGCTGTTGAACTCCCAAAAACATGAGAGGAAAAGAGATTATTGGATTAAACCGTCTTCAAGCGACCCAGCAAGGTGCTTTTCCCCAACGCAGATTCCTCTACAAGCAGCTAAATCACAATGCGACACCTGGAAATGCGTCGGCCCGAAATCGAGCCATTCGGAAAGCGAGGGGTGCGTTTCCTCCAACTCTGACTCTGAGACCTCGAGATTTTGCAGGAAGGGCCGGAGCCCTTGGGGATGGGCGCGCCCGGCAAGTGAAACACTGACCAGTCATATGCTTATGGGGAATGGGGTGAGTGACCCAAACCTTCTATGGTTCATTGTTGAGAATGATGTTGAATTTCGGCCTTTGCACATGTACAATTGTCAAGACCCCTTCATGTAGGCCATGGTCATGTCTCACTGAGTAGGAACCTTCCAATGGCTGCCTACAATCACTACTCAAAGGTTCATGACTATCCCTATCAATCCCAAGCAAAGCGCAAATGCTGGAAATGTGCCTATCATCCATCTCGCCATCATGCGCGTGTTGGTGTGAACATGCATTGAACCCCTTGGAAAAATCAAACTGTTTGCTAGCGCTTGCGGAAACATGGCTTTCGCACTTCGCAGACTCAAAGAGTGAATTCAGAAAGTTTCCAAGTGCACATAGAAAATATCCAGGCAAAGAACAAACACAAAGAGCGTCAGCCCTTGGAGCGGGCGCGTCCCACTTGATCTTACCGAACAGGCTTGTGGAAAATCACCCTTTGCGCAATGCCAAAGCGGCCCGACAACCATGGCATGAAGACGGCCGCAAGGAAGAAATCCACCACTGTCAACTTACCCTAAAAACTAAAAACACGGCCGTGCCACCGCTTTCCCCGAACCCACTCTCCGTATCCCGGATCCAACTCTTCAGACCGTGCCTTGAAAAGAAAAACACCCGAGCCAGGGTTGAATGCTATTCGGCCGCCAAAGGGAATTAAACCCAGGGCCTCCTGTTCATGACCCACTGGGCTTGATTTGGTGACCAAATAAGAAGAAATTAAGACATTAAAAAACGACTCCAGAAAGGACTAACAGGAACTGGACCCAGGGACGCTTGCTTGAAGCAAAACTCAAAATAGCTGGCAATTTCTCGCTTTTGGCATGTCGCGACAAGGAAAGTCCAGACTTGGAAAGTCAAAGTTTGGCATGTGGGTTTGTTTGGTTCCCTTCTGACCGGTCTTCGATCGAAACCAAAAGGTACGACATGTTGGGGGCCCTTGCAACTTGAAACAAACACAAACGGATGATGGGAGGGGACTTCAACCCTTCTAAATGTCATGGGCAGTTGACACTAGTATCACAATAAGTAGCTGAAACCACCCACAACTGCCACGCATCAACCTGCAAAACTGGCGCAAAACAACAAAACCTTCCAAACAAAGGTCTCTGAGTTCACCAACGCACTGCCGCTTCAAGTCCCTGGCTCCTGCGGTCCACCTAGCACCCCCACCCCGCAAGTCCCTCGTCCTGCTCACCAGTCCGATCTTTTTGTCCAGCTCACCAGTCCCTTACTTGAAGTTAGAACCTCCACAGCTTTCTGTCTGAACAAAAACCAACACCTTTCGAGAAATGAATGTAGGTCAAAAATAGGGTAGCCCCAAAATGGACCCCTGGTAAACGGAAACGAAGACTAAAACCAGCGGTCTTGTGGTGGGTTTATTTTGACCCATACCCAAATTTGCCCAGTCATGGCGCCGCAGAGCTCAGACACCAGGCTGTAGCGGCTCGCCAGGTTCTCCGCACTCTTTCGCGCCTGGGGATCAGCTTGTAGCCCTTGTGGTTTGTGGCCCTTACCTACTTGGGCTAAAACGAACCATAAATGAACCACTAAGTTCCTGGTCCTTGTGTGCCTTTGTGTCTGTATGTGTGCCTGGCTGTCTCTGTGTCTGCCTCTGAGTGTGTGTGTGTGTGTGTGTCTGCGTGTGTGTGTGTGTGTTGTGTGTTGTGTGTTGTGTGTGGTTGTGTGGTTGTGTGTGTGTGTGTGGTTGTGTGTGGTTGTGTGTGGTTGTGTGTGGTTGTGTGTGGTTGTGTGTGTTTGTTTGTGTGTTTGTGTGTTTGTTTGTTTGTTTGTTTGTTTATTTGTTTGTTTGTTTGTTTGTTTGTTTGTTTGTTTGTTTGTTTGTTTGTTTTCTGTTTGTGTGTGTGTGTGCGTGTGTGCGTGTGTGCGTGTGTGCGTGTGCGCGTGTGCGCGTGTGCGCGTGTGCGTGTGCGTGTGCGTGTGCGTGGTGTGGTGTCGTGTCGTGTCGTGTCGTGTCGTGTCGTGTCGTGTTGTGTGTGCTTGCATGTCTCTGTGTGTGTGTGTCTCTCTGTGTGTGTGTCTGTGTTGTCCATGTGTGTCTGCGTGTGTCCGTGTGTGTGTGTGTGTTTCTGAGTGTGTGTCTGTGTCTGTGTCTGTGTCTGTGAGTCTGTGCGTGTCCATGTGGGTCTGCGTGTGTCTGTGTGTGCGCCTCTGAGTGTGTTTGTGTCTGTGCCTGTCGCTCTCTCGCTCTCTCTGTCTCTCGCTCTCTCTCTCTCTCTCTCTCTCTGTTTGTGCGTGTGTGTCTGTATTTATGTCTGGGTGTGTCTGTGTGAGTGTCTGTGTGTGTGTGTGTCTGTCTGCGTGTGGCTTGTGCGTATGTGTGTGTGTGTGTATATGTATCTGTGTGCTTTTGAGGCTCAGTTCCCAACTGCTTGGTTTGGGGAGCTCACAGGACATCTACTATTTTGGAGCCTAGTTTGATACATACCCACTGTGTTCGGATAAGACTTTATACCAGAAGGATTAAGTCCTCAAACGGGCTAGCTGGGTCGTTTGGCCTAGCTTTTCCTCAGCACATGCTTTGGGGGCATGGGAGAAGCACACTAACTACTTTCAACAGTTAGAGTCCGCCCTGTTTCATGGCATCCCTCCGGGTCACTGAAGGGATCCAAGCCCGCGCCCTAAATGTTCGGCCCTATTTGCAGCCGCCAAGACTCAGCTGGAGCACCTTGACATGGGCCTGGAAAGGAAGTTGGTCTTCGACTAGTTGAGTCACAGCCCTTTTGGCAGCCAAGCCCTCGCCACAGTCTTGGGGTCAACTCACATCTTTTGGCGCCGCCGAAATCGTCGGCCTTTCGGGCCAAGGCGCAAAGAAGGCGTCCAACCACTGGTACACTGAGACGTCTTGGGTTTGCTGCGGCACCTGGCAAGCGAGCGACGCGGGAAAGAAAAAAGGCCGGGCGTATGAAGGTTGAGAAGCTGAGTTCTGAAAAGGCCTGCGAGAAGAGGACAAGCTACCCGTTTCCTGTGGCTTCCTTGTGAACTAAGACTACTTGCGAGAGAACAAACAAACACCCATGCACTAACTTATAATAGGCCGGCAAAGAGCAAGTGTGATGACATCTCCACCCCAAACTGGAAATCATGAGGGCCCGGATGTGGACCCCAATCCCTACACATTGATGAGGGAATGGGGGTCCAGTTGCACAAGAGCGGGAATCGTATCAACAACACAAGAATAGTTGCAACCCTGGCCCGGTGACCCCGGGCTAGTAGCCTCTTGGTTGCTTGTTGCAAGGGTGTAGGTTGCGTCACTCAAAGTGAGCCTTTGAGGGCTTCCCAATATCCTTGGGGAGGTGTCCATTTAAATCACCATGTAAAACAGTGGTCTTAAGGATGTCGCGCCATACCCAGTTTTAGAGCAGATCTGTATGATTTGTTGGAGAACGTCTGATCAAATCCCTTCTGCATGGCCGCGCATCTCGGTGCTTGTGATCAACCTCTTGAAATGGCTCCTCTTCAAGGCTTCCTGCTTGTTTCCCTACATAAAGGCTGCCTGCAACAGAACGCAACGTTTTTCCATAGCCCTTTTGCAACATAGGATGGTAGCGGAGAATGACAAAGGATCCAAAGGATCCAAACTGAGCTCGGTGCACATGTTCAACCAAACTGACCTGAAAACGACGGTTCTGATTCACAAAGTCTACGGTGCCCGAAGGGAAAATAAACAGGCCCCAGCTTCCTCTGGGACAACCAATAGTGAGGGGGCCGACCCAGACCTAACACGTTGCTTCGTGATTATCGTGTTCATGTTATTTGAACGAGAGTCCACAGAGACGAGGGCACCTGGACACTGGAGGTCTGGGCGCAACTCAAAACTCGCGGCGACAAGATCTCGCCTGAAACTTGTGCAGCAGCATGTCATCTGACATATTCCTGAGTCCGGGTTTCTGGCAAGGCGTGAGACTGGGGTTTTTCACAAGGGCCTCGGGCCGCCTTGGCAAGACCTTTCTTTGGGCCATGCTTGGGGGATCTGTACGGGCGACCCTGAGCTCAAGAAGCATCTGGAGGGCTTGTTGCGGGAGAACCCCTTGGTGGAGGTTCAGAAGAACCCCGATGCCTGGACCAGGGTTCCTAAAAACTTTCGGTAGGAATTTTGTAGTCAGCAGCTGGGTGGAGAGCGCAAAGGACCAGGTTATGGCAGTTTGTAAGCACCAAATAGGCAAAGGACAGAATGGCGTCAGTCCAACAAGCTTGCAGTGACAAGGGATGGCGCGGAGTATGGAGAGGAAGTAATATCGGCAGAGGAGGCACTTCAGGAGGCGTCAAGGTTGTGGGGAGAAGCGAAGGCTGTGGTTGGGTTGCTTTTGCTCTGCGGGTGCAATCAATGGAGCTGGTCATCAGTTCAATGTACTTGAACGATGAAGGAGCACACGGAGAAACCAATGCAGCCATCTTGCGAGCCTTGAAAGGCTTTGAGCTTGGCTGTGCTCTGGCCATTGGCTGGAACGAGAACCCTTCCCAACTCAGTAGCACTGCCAGGTGTTGTGGTGGAACCTGAGGCTACCATAGCCACCGGCAGAACACTGGATCTACGTACTCCCTAAATCGCAGGGTGTGCTGGACATGCAATTAGGATGTGCCGTCGCACGCAGCAGTGGAAGCGACTATACGTAAAAAGGTCGCAGCAGTTGTGCCAAAGCTAACATTGTACGAGGATAGCTGCCGTGGAGTGCTTCCGAGCAGCAAGCTGAATGTCTGGAACTCCTTGTGGTGTACGGAATCCGAGTTGACGCAGGTGTTGGCAACTGGAGCAGGCTGAAGCTTGGCTTGCTTCCACAGATTCCGGACGGGGAGTCAAGTTGGTGTTAAACTCCATGCAACCACTGGTGGAAAAGACGGCGCCTCAAGAGGTGTGGAGTGATGCAGTGATGATACTACAATGGTGACACTTGCTTTGTGGGGGCCGTTTTGCAGTGGACCGAGATGCTTCCAAGTGGCTGACAAGCAGCAAGCAGCGCAGTTGCAAACTCCCACAACAAGATTTTGCAGACTTTGAGCGGGGCGCATGCTCTCCGGAGGCCCTTGGCAGGGCTTCAAAATGTGACACCAGCGGCAAGTTGCAGGCTGTTTTATGTGTCGCAGCTCTCTCGGATGGAGTAATGATGAGGCTCATTGAGGATTGGGCGTGTTGAAACACCGGGCATTAAAGGACAAGCTTCAGCAGAAGGCAGACCGGAAAGACAGGAAGGCACGTGCAGCCAATGATGTCAAACCATGCGTTTGTAAGACCTGCAGATGTTTGGATGTGCGCCACGAGCACCGGGAGTACTGGAAAGCTAGGGGCGACGCAGCTGAAGTGATTTCTTTGCGCCAGGATGGCAACCGACACCTGGGAGCATGGCCTTGAAGCAGGCCGTGAGAAGGCAGAAAAAGATATCCAGCGCTCAGATCTGGGAATCTTTGAAGTTTGTGCCCAAACGAAGAAGAAGGACCTGACGGCTGCACCTTCTAGTTTCTAGTTCAACCGCCAAAGAACCTCGAGTTACCCTATTTCACCTTGCAAGGGCATTGTGGCTGGATTGTCTTTTGGAGTGGTTATGGCCAAGCTGGTCCTGTGCACTGTTACATCGATAGTGCATAGGCAGTGCCGGCTGCAGAGTCTAACCACTTGGATTGATGAACTTGTTGCAGATGTGCCGCCGCCCACAAAGAGGGTCTGGAGGGCAGAGGGTGGGCAGAGACATTGAAGCGCCTTTAGGAGGTCAACTGGCCAGTGCAAGACATCAAAGCTCTTAGCGTTGACAACACCATTGGAAGACCCAGGCTTGGAAAAGAACGACGTCATCCCAATGCAAACAAGCAGAAAGACCTATGGTACGAGGCGCCCAATTGAGGTGCTGGATTAGACTAGAAGTTCCTTGGGAGAGCGTGCATCGCTGGAGGGTGAAGGGACCATTGGCTGCGACGCAAGCCACTCTGCTGGATATGGGGTGGCAAGTAGAAATTGCGGGCGAATGGACAAGCCTGGAGGCTTAATGACAAGGACGGGCACAAAGAGCGAGCCTGTCTCATGCCAAAGTTGAGGCAGGGCCGGCTTGAGATAATACGAAGACACATCCACTACACGCACACAGTTGCTGCTAAGCCAGGAACGTATGCGGTGCCCTTCTTGTTGCTTCCCCCTTCCAGGCCTAAGGCCAGCAACAAGTTGAGAAGACCTTGACCGAGACGGTGAGCAGGGCAAGGCATTGCTTGGTGTAGAACAAACAAACAGACTCAAAGCTGAGTGTCACTTGGTCTGAACCAATCGAAAAACAAAAGGGGGGGAAAACAAAAACATCGTGGCTTCTTTTGGGACTTAAACCGCCAAACGAATGTGCTAGAGCACCCAGAAACAGCCCCTCGGCCCTCAGAAGAACCGGGGCTCAGGATCTTGTAGGCGTCGGTCTGCTGGCAGCAGTGCGAGGCCACCTCCAGAGGCACCATATCAGTGGCCGCCACCTGCGGAAAACCCCCGGCGGACGTTTGATCCTATGGCCAGGGGGGCTTTGGGGGAGGGAGGGGAGGGGGAGGGAGCCCAAATAAGCCCTTAATAAGCCCCTAAAGCCTTATTTGGGGCTTATTGGGGCTCCCTCCCCCCCCTCCCTCCCCTCCCCCCCCTCCCTCCCCTCCGGCGCCCATGATATGGGGTTCTGGAGATTTAAATTGGCAGAGTTCGGGCGAAGGCAGTTTCAAAAATGGAAATATATAGATTGCAGCGCGCTTCTTCCCCATTCTATCTCTCTCTGGCTCTTTATCAGGGAACTTGTCCGGGAACACTCCCCTCCATAGTCTCCCAGAGCCCCACGAGCTAAATTGTCGGAAAGTGACTTCTCAAAGCAGCGTGGGCGAAAGACTTGATCCGCTAGAACCCTTCCAGCCACTAGAACCTGGGCCCCTTTTGAAACTGATCTGTCAGGTTCCATAGTCCCACTGGTTGGCAGAAAGGAGTCTACCCAACGACGGGGAATCAGAAGGGCATGCGGCACTTGTACTTGTGTAAAGCTTTCCTTGTCGGATGGGGGGATGGGAGAGGGGGATGATTGTCATGTACGGAGTATGCTTTTTCCCGAAAGCCTAACGAAAGGTCATTCCGGCGAGATCGCCTGAAGGATTGCGCAGAGAGATGTCCAGAGATCATCCGGGCAAGTTGCGCTCGGAAGCTGTTCGGGGGTCTGGACCCCAATCTCCGAGCCTTCCCCAAAGCACCATGCCTCCTCAAACAAAGAAAACAACACGGGAAAATTTAGAGAGCACGATGGCCCTGGTTGAACGGTGCCCTCATTTTGGGCTCGTGGCTTTCCGTTCACAGTGCCTTCTGCGCTGGGGGAGCCCACAACATTCAGACACGTTTCCAGAGTGAGCTATCTGAAACAGGCACGGCTCTCAAAACAAGAACAAAAACATGTGTGTGTGTGTGTGTGTGTGTGTGTGTGTGTGTGTGTGTGTGTGTGTGTGTGTGTGTGTGTGTGTGTGTGTGTGTGTGTGTGTGTGTGTGTGTGTGTGTGTGTGTGTGTGTGTGTGTGTGTGTGTGTGTGTGTGTGTGTGTGTGTGTGTGTGTGTGTGTGTGTGTGTGTGTGTGTGTGTGTGTGTGCGTCATGTTTGTTGTTTTCCTCCGAGGTTTTCCTACAAGACAGGGACGGGCATGGACTTTTAACACTCCGAGATGTCCCTACCACAAGACAGGGACATGGGGCATAGACTGGCAACTCGACAGCCTCCCCGTCGTTGAGCTGTCGTTGCATGGCTTTGGCGTACTGGTACACGAAGCCACAGCACTCTGGGAGCTCCTGACATGGATCGAGCTTTTCCATGTGGGAGTGGGGAGTCCGATTCCATGGGATTGAACACTTCAGAAATATTTAGGGCTTGAAACCCAACAGAAATCAAAAGCATAAAGCCAATGACCCTCGGAGCATTTTCCAGGGATTCAGGTGTCTGATCGGCTAAGCTGAATTAAGGGATCCCAAAACAATCATGGGCAAGCTCGTCACAGGCATTGATGCAAACAAAGGAAGTGCTTTGAGATTGATCGAATAGGTCCATGAGGGTGATTCATCAGATTGGGCAAATTGACATATGTGCCTTGCCGATCGCAATGCGGTGGGTTAACACCATGGAAGAATCCAAAACATGTCCCAAAATCCCAGGGTCACAAACAATAATTTACCGAGCTATTCCTCTAGCCATATTCGAAACAACTGCGGGTTGGATGGACTGTTCAACCCCCTGGCTGAAATTCAGACCATTCTCAGGGGTCCTCAGCCTAAGGCAAGCAATGACAGCTAGACGCGTAAGGGTGTGTTTGTGTTTGGAGTTGGTACCCCTTTTGTGATGGTATTAAAGGGAAAGGAAGATCGAGGCCTTATTTTTGGGGGATGGGGGGGGGGCCCTAAAAAACAACATCCATAAGGCAGTTTTAAGTTTCGCGCCATGGCACATGTGTGTGTGTGTGTGTGTCGTCTTAAGGTATGCTTGTGCCACTAATCAACCATAAAGGACCTGAACATAAGGCCTCAAACGATTGCTCTGGGGTTGCGGGCTACTATGCCACCAAGTTGCCTCATGACCCATAACTGAAAAAATCCCGGTCGTAGTAATTCCCAAGACAGAAGTACGAAACTTCCCAACAGAGCTCTGTTTGCGCCTCGCAAACCTTTGAACAACCAAAGGTCTATGGAGGAATCCACAAGGTCTCGCGTGGAATTCTATGGCCACCAATTATCAGCTAAACAGAGTCTTTTTCGTTGTGTGGGTCCTTGTAAACGCGAATCCAGACTCGGCAAGTGTTTCGATCAATCCTTAACGCCATCCGCCAGCTGAAGGTACGGCAGGATGAAGACGTCATTGAACTGGAAACTGGACAGGGTCAAGCGGTGCTCCACCTGACTCTCCAAGGCGAAATCTCTCGCACCACACCAAACATCCGGGGAGTCCGTGTTGGGAAGGCGGAGAAACCGGGCTTGGTGCCAAAGCCCGTGCTCCAATTTGCGGTCCGGAGAATAAACAAATAAATCAGCGGATCGATGAGTTCGCCATCAAGAGGGTCAAGTCAAGGCAAAGCTCGAAAAGGCTGCACCATGGGTGTGGTCTAATAACTCCCACCAAAGATTGTCAGCTCAAACCAAGCGGCATGGGTTGCGGCCATTCGACTAGTAGAAAGTTGGTACTATCCAAAGTGGGATGCCTCATGGGGTGCTTTCAACCAAGCTTCGGGTTCAAAACCAATAAACTTGGCTCGGAGCGATCCTGAACTCGTGTACTTCGACTCGTTAGGGAAACCAAAGGACGCCAAGCGTACCGACTTTAAGCCCGAAATGTCCACTTCAGCCCTCCGAGTTGCGCCTCTCAAGGATGTGACAAACAGCGCAACGGACATCAACTGGCAAGTGAAACCACCCCCCGGACTCCGAAGAAATCCCTGGCGCAAAAACTTTCGAACTTGTTGATTTGTACATAGTCCTTCCCATGCTTGGGGTGAAAAAGCAGTTTGGATGAGTAATTTTCCCAAGTGGACTTCCCAACCTTTCCCGTTCTCAGCTTGGCTGAGATAGCCTCTTCCCGGTTACCCAAACAAGCCAAAGCTTGGGCTCTGAAACTCTCCGCTCTGTTCAGGGATCTTTCTCAGAAGATGGATTTAACTGCGGGAAAATGAGTGGTTTCTGAACAGAACGGGTGAAGCGAACGGGGAACCAACGATTCTTCGACTAACCAGGTTACTCACCAAAAAAACCAAATCGGGCAAAAGAGGGGAAGAAAAAAAACGGGATCGCGGAAATGGTTGCCTTGGCCCAACCCCAAAGTACGCCTATTGCTATGCTTAGTTTCAGTTTCACATTGAATCAACGTTAAGACATGAAACTCATCTCGGACGGGTCCCAGTCTTGCTCGCGGTGTCTCAAATGGTGAGCTCCAGTTTGGCTGGTGCTTGAAGCGAAATCATGCCATTTTGCCGGGAGGGTTCTATGTTGAGAGAAAAACAACAACAAAAACATGGCAACGACGGCCTTCACGAACAAGCTGATCTCGGCGTAGAAAGTGTGGCTTTTCGAGGAGATCTTCTGATCCTCTCGCGGCCCGGCTGTGTAAATGCCATGCTTATTCCTTTTGACAAGGTCCCAAATCGGCCGGGGGCAAGTTCTGTCGCGTGGTTTTTGAAAGCTTAAGCTTTTAGTGAGACAATGCCCCTAAACTCGGAGAAAACTCAAAGGTCGAAGGGGAAGCCTGGCCGAGGAAGCAAAATGCGCACCCTCAAACCCTTAAACACGGGGATGCCTTGAGTCTGCGCAGGTAACTTCAACCAGCTTAGTTTGGGGGTGGGCCACTTGCAGCCAGCTGAAATGCCTCAGCTTCCCCTCAGTGGTCCGATCCGCAGACTGAGCGCACGGGATTTGCTTGGCTCCCACTTTCCCTAGGCTTGCGCAACATATCCAACGTGGATGTGGAGGCTTTACGAAGCAAACAAACAAAAAAACAACGTCTCCTTGTCGCGGTGTCCACTGGAAACTATAACAGTATGCATATCTACGCATTCTATTGAAGGGGATATACAACCAGCTGGGTGTCTACAACGTAGCGACCAGGAAGCAGGAAGCCCTTTGCACAGCCGAACAGGGAGTAGAGGTAGGGAATTCATAGGGACCCACCTCCCACCCTGAGCTTTCGCCCATCTCGCCTTGATTCAAATCGTGAGCCTCTCAGAAGTCAAACGGTTGGTTTCCTTCTCGTTTGGATACAACTTTCCGTCTCGCACAATGGCTTGATGTTAAAAGCCTCCAACAAAAACACACCCACGGATTTGATCTGGTTGCAAACTCTGAACCGCGTGGGTCCAGAAATGTTCGGAAGGCCCCTTCAGTGGCGCTTCAAGATTCGTGAGATCGGGGGTGGCAGCCCACATCCTCAAGCCAGCTTGGCGTGTCTCCAACTGGAACTGTCAAAATGGGGCTGGTCACCCTAAAACTGAGCTGAGTTGACTGGCCGAAAGCTTGAACTTGGCTCTTGACTAAAGTTAGGAAGCCTGCCAAGAAACAGATTGAAGTTTGCCAACCCAGGTAGAAAAGGGTATCAAACAAGGCCTAACCCAATCCATCCCATGCCCAAACTTCCGAACCCGCCGAACACCCAACACTCCGTCCATGTGCCCGGCATTCCGTATGTATCTGCCAGGAGCCTCGGCAAGCAAGCACTGGTTTCTAGTCTCAGACCTCCATCCATGCGAACACCTCTCTCTGTGTTTTTATTGGCTGCTTTCAAGCCGCCGAAACCTTTTTTGCGAGAAAACAGGGAACACCACCGGCCCTGGGAAAAGTTGTAACATGTTGTTTGCCACTAACTGATCTTTTTTTGCTAGGGAGGTTGCGAGGTCAACACCTTTCAACGCCTGTAACCTATGCCTCACCATGACCTCTACCATGGACTGGCGATGCGGGGAACTGTTATCTTTGAATTGATCCAATAATACGAAGCGCCTCCACCACAAAAGCTGTGCAAAACTACCCACCAAAAGGGAAATCCGAGATGGAGGATTACACAACAAAAGTAGATGGAAGCTTGTCCCCCCTGAGCGACAAAACACTTAAAAAAAAGAAGAAGAAAGTAAACAACACAAAAATTCGCCTCGGCCCCAAAGGGGCCAAGGGCGCTCAGATCTCTTCTCCAAAGAGAACCCCTCCCCAACCAAAATTTTGCCGGCCCGCCCCCCCACCCCCCCGTCTGGCCCAAAATCCTGTCCGGCGGGCCTTGAAATTTTCGGGGTTCGTCGTCCAGCTCCACGGGTCCATTTTTGTCGAAAAGTGCTGACAATTGCGAAAATCACTGAAAAGCATGAATTTCTGCTGGCCAGGCCTGTCTGACGTGTCTGAGACTAGGCTCAGACCCAGCGCAACCAGCAACCCGGGTGCTGGCCAGGCCTGTCAGCCCAGCCACCCAGCCTCAGACCCAAGCTTGTCTGAAACAGGCCTAGCAACCCGCCCAAGCACGGCCCCAAGTCACCCAGCCTGCCCAGCCCAGGCCCCGGCGCATCTCAGGGCAAGGTTTGTCTAACCTGTTTGAGATTTCTCAGGTCAACGACCAGTCTCACGTCTCAAGCTATGCCAGCTACTAAGCCTGTCTGACATGCTTGGGCGCTGCCCAAGCACCTCAGCCCAGCCCCTTCGGCGCAGTCTCAGACTGTATGTCAGCCTGAGACTAGCCTCAGGCCCAGTCCCTCAGCCCGCCTGCTGGCGTGTCTTACGTGTCTGCGACTGGCCTCAGGCCCAGCCCAGCCAGCAACTCGCCACCCAGCCTCAGGCCCAAGTGTGTATGAAACAGGCCTCGCCCATCCAGGTAGTCCGGCTGCCCGGCAGCCAGCAACCCACCCATGGCTTCGCAGCCTCGTGGCTGAGACTGGCTTCAGGCCCAGCCCAACCACCAGCCTACCCAGCCCAGGCCCTCCCAGCACCAGCAGGCTCAGCACAGCGTGCCAAGGTCAGGTTTGTCTAACGTGTCTGGTGTGTGAGAGTGGTCAAGCTATGCCAGCTACTAAGCCTGTCTGACGTGCCCCAGCCCCTCAGTCCGGCTGGCCCAAGCAGCTCAGCCCAGGCTGCCTGCTCGCGTCTGGCCCCAAGTCATCCAGCAGGCCCAGCCCATTTGGCGCAGTGGGAGACTGGTTTCAAAGTATGCCAGCCTGCGGCCCGGCAACCCACCCATGGCTTCGCAGCCTCGTGGCTGAGACTAGCTTCAGGCCCAGCCCAACCAGCAACCCACCTCAGCCCAGCCTGCCCAGCCCAGACCCGGCGCATCTCAGCGCATGCCAGCCACTAGGCCGGTCAGGTTTGTAGACTGGCCTCAGGCCAACCACGTGTCTGAGACTGGTCTCAGCTACGCCAGCTACTAAGCCTGTCTGACGTGCCCCAGCCCCCCAGTCCGGCTGCCCAAGCAGCTCCGCCCAGGCTGACCAGGCCTTGACCTCCCTTCAGCCCGCCTGCTGGCGTGTCTTACGTGTCTGCGACTGGCCTCAGGCCCAGCCAGCAACTCGCTACCCAGCCTCAGGCCCAAGTGTGTATTAGACAGGCCTTGCCCATCCAGCGACCCGCCCAAGCACAGCTCAGCCCAGCCCGCCCAGCCGAAGTTCCAGGCGCAACCAACAGCGTAGCCCGGCTGCCCAGCAGCCAGCAACCCACCCATGGCTTCGCAGCCTCGTGGCTGAGACTAGCTTCAGGCCACCTAAGCAAACCCCACCCAAGCCCACT